CATAGCAAGAGCAATGCATCAAATGAACAAGGTTGCTATTGTGCGATGTGTGTGGAGGCAAGGTCAAGGGAATGTTGCTCTTGGTGTATTGACACCAAATATTTCATCAGTGAACAATGTCGTAAGTATTATATTTATGCCGTTTACATTTGAAAGCTTTGATGAATGCTCAATCAATTCTTTACTATATGCTGCAGCAAGATTCCTTTTACTTCAATGTGCTCCCATTTGCTGAGGACATCAGAGAGTTTCAGTTTCGATCCTTTAGCAGCCTGCCATCATCATCTCAGCCCACTGAAGAACAACAAGAAGCTGCAGATAACCTAGTGAAGATGTTAGACCTAGCACCACCTGGAAGAGAGGTCCTCAAGCCTGAGTTTACACCAAATCCCATGTTGGAGGTACTATTTTTCATGGTAGAACATCCTGTGGAATGCATACATGGTCCTATTTGTTATTCTATTTTCATCTATCCCTACATTAATGTGCCTTTAGTAAGGCATTGACTTAGTGCAAAAATACTGTGGCTGTTCTTTTTAGTCCAACAAAAATCATGACATTATCAACAAGATGTGCAGTTGTGCACTGCTGTAGGCTTTTGCCAATACCGTGTCCCTCTTAAAGTGGAAATAATTTTACATGTCAAATGGTAAGTATGATCGCTGTATTGTGTCCATTCTGCACCAATTGTCACCCCAAAGAAAAGTTCGACCAACATTAGAGAATTAAGAACATAGCAGTAGGACTTTATGGCACAAGAAGGGTATGGGAGGATGGAGCGTTATGGAACAAAACAACTTAAAGTTCAAAATTTATGTGATAACCAAACATTTCTGCAATACCATTGGATCTTGTGCATGAGGTAGTGTGTGGGTTGCACACTTGCACTGCTTGTTTCATTGATTATGGTACATTGTCCCCTTTCAGAGATTTTACAGTTACCTTGATCTCAAGTCAAAGCAGCCAGATGCAAATGTCCCACCACTTGAAAGATCTCTAAGGAGGATAACTGAACCTGATCCTGATGTGATTGGCCAACAAACACAATTAATCCAGAATTTAGGCAAAGCTTTTGAGCTGAAGGAGAACCCCAAGGTTAGATGCAAATATTTGTTATATTGATTGAATTTGGTCCAATTTTACAAAAGAAAAACTACATCATTTGACTTGTCTAATTGATTACAGAAAAAGAAAGCACGAACACAGGACATATTGGCATATGCTGGTGCAGGTGATCAAGCTAAATCTGTAGAAGAGCCTTCTGTAGAGAAGGACAGACTTCTGGAAAATACACATCCTCCAACAGAGAATGTTGGGGCGATCAGAGATTCAAATCCAGTTCAAGATTTTGAGGCCATGCTGGCTAAGAGATCTAGCTCAACTTGGGTTCAGAAGGCTATTGAAGATATGCAGAATTACACGGCAGCTTTGTTACAAAAGTCTCGTGATGGGAGTAACTACCAAAAGGCACTTGAATGTTTTGCTGCTCTGCGGAAGGCCTGCATTATTGAACAGGTAAGCACTCTAGGGGTTTATTTTCATGAGCACATGATAGTTACATGAGCCAATGTCATAAGATTTATGGCAATGCCACATGGGTAGGTTGGGTCTGATTGGATCCACTAGTGCTAAAATAGTTAGCAGCTAAAATTAGTAGCTATGGAACAAAACAGGCTGCTAATAGACCTGCTAACTATTAGTTCATTAGCATGGTTGCTGGGTCTCCTTAAAATTGGGCAGCTGTCGTATCAAATTAGCTATTGCCAGTTTTGCCAGTCTGTCTGTCTCTGTTTACACTAGACGTCATTCGTGATCAGGAACCACAGGAATTCAACGAATTCCTAACAAAGATTTACGAGAGATTGAAGGAGGGTGATGCTGCCAAGTTCTTTCAACTTCTCTCCTCAAAAAATATTTCACTTATCAGCAAAGAGGAAGCGCCTGACAGGTTTACAAAGCTTTCGCCGTGTGTCCATCCACATTGCGGTTAGCATGGCTTTCGTTTCTTAACATCTCCTATTGATCTTCTCCATTCTGCTGCAGTGATGTGACTGAAGATATGGCAAAAAGTTTCTTCCTGAAACGAGAAAAGGCGTCTCAGTAGCAGCAGCTGGAAGAAACTGCAAGCACCTTCTGTTTGGAGATCATCGGACCGGATTGTGAAACTGCCCTAACTATAGCTTAGCCTAGCCCGTTGCATGTGTGTGGGCATGTTTTGAGGCTTTGTTCGTGGATGGAACTGGAACTAATACTCAAACTCTCTGGGTTTAGCCACTGTTTTGCTGCACAGTCCGTTGGTGTTGGAGCTTTATACTAGTAGTACTATTTAGATTCTTGTCTACTACTCTACTGTGTTGCGTTTCGAGTAGATTCAGCTTGGCTTTTGCGTGCGGTTGGGTAGGACCGTGCGCCTTAAGACGTCATTCAAAAGGAAGGAAAAGAGCAAGGCCTTTCGGCCCACTTCCTTTGCTCTGAACAGTCGGGCGTGGTCCAGCCTCGCCGAATCAAGAATGTTGACGCCAACACCAGATCCCAAATCCGTAGCATTTTTTCTTGTTTCTGATTTGCTTCCCAATACTATGCACCTTGGCCATCCTATGATCTTCAGCCACAGAGATAGGAACAAAGCCTATGGTTTTATCATCCACAAATTCCGTTCTAAGCTCACTACAGTCAAGGCCAATGTGTTAAATCACGTTGGCGGGCTTACCTACATTAATTCTGTCCTTGCCTCAATTCCTGTCTATTATATGTCTACGGTCCTTTTCTCCAAATCTTTTGTGGAGAAAATCACTACTATTATCCGTAGATTCTGGTGGGCTGGCATCCAGGACGATAATCCCTCTAATCCAATTGCCTTCCGCTCTTAGGAGGATATCTGTCAGCCTAAAGAGAATGGTGGTCTAGGCATCAGAGACCTTTATACGATCAATAAAAGTCTTATCACTAAGGCTGCCTGGAACATTGCCACCAACAAAAACCCTTTTCTTACTGCTATCCTTAAAGCCAAGTATTTCTCCAACTCTTCTTTCTGGACTACCAATTCTGATGACCCTCGCTCCATCTTCTGGTCTTCTATCCTCCAAATCAGAAAGGACCTAACTACTAATGTTACATATCAGATTCATGGTGGCAACTACTCAATTTGGTCTTCGCCTTGGTGTCCCATTTGGGACTCTATTCATAACCATCTTCTCCTTCCTGTTACCCACTCTCCTCTTCCAAATGTGGTTGCTGACCTCTGGATTCCTAACACTCACATCTGGAATCTGGACCTCCTCTCTAATGTTTTTTATCAGCAGGCTGTTCAAATTATTTCACAGGTTACTACGGTTCATAGTCAGCGCCACGACATCCTGAGGTGGACTCCAGCCAGGAAAGGAGACTGCACCACTAAAAATGTTTACAGATTTTTCAGTGCTCAAATGCAGGTCCGGTTGCCACTCACAGGAACTCGGAGCATCCAGCAACAGGCCAATACAATCCTCTAGAGAACATGGAAGCTCAAAAATCTTCCTCCTCTCATCAAGACTTTTACATGGAGGCTAGTCCGTCGAGCTCTAGCAACCGGATGCTGGGCTGCAAGATTCTCCGCACATATTGATCAACATTGCTCCACCTGTGGTATGGTTGAAACTGATGCACATTTATTTTTCCACTGTCATTTCGCTCGTGCAGTTTGGTTTTCAGCTACCCCACCGCTCAGAAGTGATACACTGCCCATGGAAGATGATGGAGTTCAAGATATCCTTTCAATTCTTATAACAGATGCAACTACAAGTGATTTATTACAAAAAAATCCTGACTACCTTATGGTATATCTGGAAAGCTCGAAATGATCTCAGATTTGCCAGGAAATCATGGACCCGCATTTAGCCACAGCAGCAATGGCGAACTCAACTCTGGATGCACAGGTACAAAGCTGCACTGATGGACAGCCCCAAGAGGACATCTCCTCCTCTCTGCAGGAATCCATACATCACCAGCCGGCCTTTACTGGACCACCGAACCAGGAACAAGCACCATCAGGTTCCACTCCCCCCTCTGCACTTTTGAATCAACCTAGCTTCAATATGTACAGGTGTACAATTCCAATGACGAACAGGTACATGATCCAAATGCCAGCCCTGCTACCTGGCGTCAGATGCTATGCTGATGCTTCTACGACACCTGATCATCCATCCATGCAGCCAAGAATGGCAGGTCTTGGAGTATTTTTTCTTAATACACAGGTACAACCGGTGCACGCCATCTACGTCAAGGCTGTCATGACCAATGCTGCATCTGTGCTAATGGCGGAGGCGGCTGCTCTAGCTCTCGCAGCTACGGTTAATGACGGTCTTAACATCAACAACACCACATTCTTATCCGATTGCCAACAGCTGGTCCACTTCCTTAATGATGCAGATCAAACCAATCCCCCAGACTGACGATCAAAAATTTACAAGGTCAACCGGCAACTCAATACTACGGCAGACACTCTGGCCAGACAGGCCTTATCTGCCTCTAGTTCTAGTACTACAATCTTTGAGCCTGTATGCTCCAATAGTGATCATCATCATCACTGTCCAGTGATGAATGCTTTGCTGTCTGTAAATTTAAACTCTGTATCTATCATTGCAGCGCGTTGCTGCTGATATAAAGATGCTTGTTGTAAAAAAAAACACTTTTGCGGTGCTCAGGCGAATTCAACAATTAATTTCAAGCAAGGAAAAAGATACATGGAGAACATTTCAGATAAAACTCATGAACTCCCTGGATTTGAAATGAAATTGTATATATATGGGTGAAAAACTTCAAATTCTTCGCGACAAGTTCCAATACCTTTTTCAGCTACATGAATGAATGGGATACGGTCTCTCGCAGCTTCCATCTCTCAGCGACAGGGAAATAGGGAATAGGATGATTTCCCTCCCTGTTTTATTAATCCCAAAAGGCATGCATGCATACATAAGAGAAAACTGAACTATTAGGCCCTCAAAAACCACCCGGACAGCATTTTAAGCATCCTTCTCCGTGATAAGCTTGTCGATGAGAGCAGCAGCATCCTCCACCGTCTGGATCTCTTGAGCACTCGATTCGTCCACGCTGATTTGGAATGCCTCCTCAAGGCCCATCACAATTTCAACCTACACCAAATTCAGAAATTAATGTACCAATGGGACAATTCATATATAGTTCCACTAGCGGAGGCAATGGCAACAAATTCCCAAGGGTTCTATTAAAATGGTGTAGCTTAACGATAATACAAGTACACAAAAATTTAAAATTAAAATGGATTGCTTTGCTCCCAATTACTAGTAAGGAATCACATGAGTACAAGGAGTTACCGTGTCAAGTGAATCAGCTCCAATGTCTACAAACTTTGTCTCTCCTATTACAGTGGTGTCTTCGGGTAGAGCTAACTGATTCTTCACTATTTCACAAACCTTGTCAACAGTTTCTTGTTTAGCCTATTCAAGAATTAAAAGTCAATTGTCATGTACCGTCATGAACAATAGCAAAGGAGTTCCAATGCATGGTGCACAAATATGTCATAAGTATTTCGATAGCCTACTCTGTTTTGCTGCCCCTACCACACTTGCAGTTACATTTTCATGTGATAAGTTTCAGGCATGAAGCAAAATATATAAAGATGTGAACTGCACCATTAATTTGGGTGTACATTTTACCATCAGAATAGCATGCTGAAGTTACTAGAGTAACTTTGAAGTGTTGCTACAACATATATGCATAGCATCCAACCGAAACACAGGTGATGCTGGTACTCAGCAGCAGAATAACATTATGAAAATCTACGATCAACTTCTCTCAAAGCAAATCCACAGTTGGTTTGAAGTGAAATAGTTATATGTGTGCATTTTCAAATGGCCCAATTGCCCCAAGTTAAATCTGTACAAATCAAGAGAACCTCTCATCAGAGTATTCAAGAACATTTCCATCAAGTGGCATTTTTCTAGTTGTATATTAAGTCGTTCAACATTTGACGACGAAATTATTTTTATACTGACAATCTTCAAACTGTGTTACTTGCAAGAATGAAGACAGTGTACAGTACTACAGTGTGACGTAATGGTATGTGTGCTTCAGGTAAAATATTGTAACTTGCACAGCAAAGAGGATTATTCAGTAGTGTATCAAGTCAGAGTACGTATAAAACAAGTCCATTGACACTTGTATCCTCTCCTCTGCTTAATTTCCTCTTTACACCGATGAAGGTAGGAAGAAATGGCAAAATGCTAGGCATGACTCATCAAAGCATAGCTGAGATCCTCAATACCTATGGTACGTGAAAGTCATGGCTGTGGCTTCGAACTTTAAAACAAAAATGCATTTCGTTCCAATCTCCTTAATGAAATACGCGTGAAGTCGTGTTCTAAAAAAAAATTCCAATAAACCATTTGGAATGTTCAGAACATATAAAGTGGGTATATTGTTTGACTGGAGTAGCATGAATAGCCATATCAGAGGTCTAGGAAGAACATTATCAGCATTTCACAAATGTTCAAGGCACATTTTAAGCATAGTGGAGAAGTCCAGGACCATCGAATGCATATTATAAGATAATAAATCATCTAAAGAGCTTCCCAGTGAAGTGAAATTTGCACAGTTCAATGGATGGAACAACACAAAGACGCTTGCTACTGATAGGACTACGTACCGAACATGACACCTGAAAGCGCTTTGGAATCCGCCGCGCCCGAATTGATTGAAAGTTTGCTCTTTGCCTGGGGAAATTGAAAGATGCCGATACCCGAAACGACACTGCATCCATTCCCTACAGTGACAGGAAAGCAGAGCTCCGGCATCTCGAAATCAAAGATCCAAGCTTTGCACCAGTAGTAACTAAAGGGAAGGATAAAAACGCCAGGAACGCAGCGAGAAGACCCGAGAAAGACGATGCAGACCTGGACCCGGAGCGCCGGGGAGTAGGTGACGGTGGCCGATCCTGCGGCGACGGCGCTGACGGGAGCAGCCATGGCTGCAAGAAGGGATCAGCGGAATGAGCGAGAAGAATCAGCTAGGCCTGCCTGCTACCCCACGAGCGATGAGTGCAAGAGAGAGGAAGAATGGGTGGGAGCTGAGGCGCGGGCGCTTTGTTATTGCGGGGGAGGCGGCGGCGCTGCCTCGTGTCCATCGACGGTCGTCGATGGAATCAACTCCGATGTTCCTGCGGCGACAGCGACAGCGATTGGAGGGAGGGAGACGCGGACGCGGAGGAGTGTGCTATGCCGATGCGTCTTTGGGACGACCATTTGCCGCTCTGTCATCATCTGTTTGGAGTATCATGGAGATCTCTCAAGATGCAAACGAGGCCGGACGGCTTTTCCTTTCTTGCCATTGGCTTAAAACCAAGTCCAACCTTGTTAAAAAAAAACTAAGTTTACTTTAAATAATAAAAAAATAAAACATACTCCCTACATCCCAAATTATAAGACATTTTGGTTTTTTATCATTATAACTTTTATTTATACACTTAGATGTATAGTCTATAGATATATAAAAAATATTATACTAGAAAAGTCAAAGCATCTTATAATTCGGAATATAAAGATTACAACATACACACCAGCAACAAATGAGCCTGTAGTCCAATGGTAGGGTTGTCTTGTGGGACGTAACCCACCAAGGTTCAAACCCTAGTGATGTGCCTCCCAATCTCTTCTTCGCATGTGTACGGACGCGTACACGTGTATATGAGTATAGATTGCGTACATCCAAGTTGTACCCGATAAAAAAAACATACACACCGGGAACAAAAGCTAAAGCTTCCACATCATATTAACCAAACGAGGATTTCAAACCAACACTAGGATCGCACAAGTGTTACTGGAACTCACTCCACGTCTTGTTTTTCGAGGGGTCAATTTTTTAAAAATTTAATTAAATATATACAAGAATATGTTAATATTTATGATATGTAATCAATATATTATACTAATAGTGAAACAATTTATAATAAATACATTAAGATATAAATGTTGATAATGTAGTCTATAAATCTACTCAGATTTAAAAGTTAGATTTCTCAAAAAATAAGACATGTAGTTTTTCTTTACGACGAAGGGAGTATTTGTTTAAGCACAATGATATACATGAGTAATTTGGCCAACTTATAATCCATGGCGGAATTAAGATTTTAGAGTTGGTTGTCTCGTTTTTCTAAAAAAAGATCCCTCCACCTTAGACTACATAAAAAACATATGGTGGCTATAAGCTAGGGTATAAATTGTTCAAATCTAAGATGGCCATAAAAGAAAGGGAAATTTGCCAAATATATAACTACAAATATAATTGAACTTTAATTCTGTGCTCCTTTGCAGCTTCGAAGTAGCTGAAATTTTTATCGTTAGTTTGAAAAAAAACTCATACTTAGTGAATCAGACCATGTAATCATTCCGACCTTCATCTTACTTATGATTTTATTCTTTACATAATTTGTTGAGAGATACTCTGAAAGAACTAGCACCAATTTGGTGAGCTTGTAAACAATGTAATGTTTGAGGTGCTTATGTGTTAGGATTGAATGGTATCATGCAAAGAATCAAATTTATGTTTACCTCATCAAGCCTTTCATTAAGATCAGAAAGTTATCTCTACTAGAAAAAATGATTTTATGTTTGAACAAATAGAAAACATAGCATAATGTGGCCCCTAGTTCCACACTATATTCAAGTTATCTAAATTCATCAAACCAAGTAGAATTGAAGGGGCAAGTCTTAGCATCGAATTAGTGGCTCCTGATTGACATGGCCCTACTATAATGTGTATCCTTAAAAGGAAGAATATGCACACTAGCTAAACAGTGAATAACAAGGAACCAATGCATGCTAGTATTACAAGTTAATGGGGAAATCCGGAGAAAGGGAGCGAAGGGATTTATTGATCTGGTATGTAGCCTTGTAGGCTTTGTGATGGGGACAAGGTTCTAGATCTTCTGTCAGGTGGAGATAACTATCATTTTGTTGAAGCACGACACACCGATTCGGCTTCATATCAAAAGACCCAAATCCTACAACCTGAGCACCACGGCTCTTATAGTTATCAACTATGTCACAATCCGGTTGACCTCGCCAAGAAGGCTAATTCCTGTCTGTGAAACGAAGAACACAAACAAGAACTTGAAAGAAGCAACTCAATTAAAGTGACAAATTGCAAAATGTATTATCAAACACTCGAAGTTGGGGTTTCAGAGCTTATGACGATGGCTGTTCAAAAATAGATTGATATAAAAGCAAAACCCGAACCCTAACATACATGGTGATGACTCAATATATCATCTAAGGGTCATGCACACCCCTTGGAACGCTCCCTAACGGGCTCTAAGACGATACATGGCTCAACAGACCAAAAGACGGTGATGTAGTACCCTGGCAAATTCTGGACGCAGACTTTTTGATGATTCATGTTGACTACAGTCGAATTATGATGTCAAACCAAAGCCAATAGTTAATTTATGAAATTATCTTTCCATGCATATATGGATCATCAAAAATGAAAAACCGTATGTGTCTTGGGCATTCGCTTTAATACAGGCTGGTCCTAGAGGCCGAGGCAGACTCGAACTCAAGTTGGACTAGGCCTCCGGCTTGACTTGGACGTACTTGCTGGTCTTCTACGGCTCCACACCTCTCTACAAATAGTTCATGACCCTCTCTAATGTTCCTAAGTAAGATACAATCATTAGGTAGCAATTTATTATCAAAACTATAAAAAAGATCGCTTAAGAACAAGCTCACCTCTAGATTTAATTGTCGCATTTGAGCTCGGATCATTGGACCTTGCATAGTGGTTAGAGGATCAGTGGGTGCATCCAAAGGAGTGATGTCCTCATCATCCTCTCCCTCTTCAAGTGGAGTCGTCCTCAACTCAATAGGTCATCTTCTTCTCCCAAGCACATGGTTGAAGTAGAAACCCATGGTGGAAGTTGTGCCTGAAGTCTTGTGATTAGTACATGGTTGGAAGTAGAAACCCATGGTTGAAGTTGCGACTAATGCAAAGGAGCCAAGTCTAGGCGTACACACCCGTTCATGACGTGCGAGCGAGTGTGCGGAATAGGGAACATAATCTTGGAGTCCACTAAAGTTTACCACGAGCAATGGGTAAGTAGAACATGATCACACACGAACGACGATGGCTGAACGCAAGACCACAACTTGTTGCATTGAGAGATGGTGATGGGTCACACGTCCTAAACTATTGATGATCCTTAACTCGAATAATCCGACCATCATTTCCTACTAAAATTGAGAATCACATGGCTTCCACCATAGCTATAGGCTTTTAATCTAACTAGTTTTAGAAGTTTTGTGTTCCAAAGTGTTTTGCGGGGAACATAAATTATTTGGTGCACAAATACCATGAATGGTGGAGGAGCAACATCTACCCATATGACCAAGGATCACTGAGAGATAAACTAGGGCATATCCGGACAACTCCACATGATTCTAAGCAATGAACAAAAGGAGACATGTACATGGTTCAATACCTGCTCAAATCACATATTTAAACCTAACACATCAAAGAGTTTGTCAAGATGAATGCAATGGACATGTGAATCACCTAATTCAGAGTTTGGATGCAAAAGTTACACTTCCTAGAAGATGGTGGGTTAAAATAGGGATAACTAGGGTCGGGTGACCTGCCAGTAAGCCTAATGCATCTCAACTTTGGTGTGAAGCCTCCTAAGTCACCCTAGAGCACAAGGTAAGTGGACCACAAAGCATAGGCCCTAAGAAGAGGTCAATCGACCTCCCCCTAGGTTGCTCGATCCTACAGTTGGCCCAAAATCTGCTAATCTTTGGAGACATGCAATGAGGCACAAAATGGAGCAATCCTATTCATAGGTCATCCCATTGATTGAAGGGCCCACCACCTCTACTCCCAAAGACACTTGCACCTCACTTTACCACACTCTCTCCCTCTTAGGAAGGTGTGCCCCTTTGGGTGGGCCCTTTCCACCAAATTACAAATTTCATCCTCGACAGATGCGGGCTCTTGTATGGTAACTCTTGTTCCTATATTTAATTAAGCATTGTAGTTATTACTTAAGTTGTTTATGGGTTCCTCGTCTATTGCATAGTTTATACTTTGCATAGGTACCTTGCTTTTGATATCGAGTAAGGTAGTAATCAATAGTGTAGACATGATATCTAGACTAGTTGTTACCTTGGTTTGCATTTAATTCAATGGATAGTAGTGGTAGCCGACCGGTGGTGATAGCCATGTCCGGCCTAAGTGTTCCACCACCTTAGTACTGTTATGTAGAACCCAGGGGTGGGCCGGTTGCTCCCCTTCTCATCCCTTTTTATGTTTTTGCTTGTCCTAGTGCTCAAAGTAAACAAAGTGGAGAGATTAATAGCGTGTAAGGTCAGGGAAGTTATTAAGCGGAATTATTGAGTGCTCTTGATGAAGGATGTATCTTAAGAGAAGGGTTGACTTGGTCCCATAGATTAGGGCTTGGAGGTGGTAGGTGCGTGTGTTGTATAAGACAAGAGGGGCTTCATAGGTAAAGGGCTTGGGTATAGTTCAAGATTGTATCTAGACTTGGGTGGAGCACAAAGGCTACCAGATGATCCGAGCATCTCTGACATAGGAAACCATGCTTCGATTATGACCTCATGGACAGTCCACCTAGCAGGGATGTATAGTCCACCTGAACAAGGCCAAGGGACTTAGGCTCAATTGATGGCTTATTAGATGGATCATAAGGTGTCATGGATGATCCAATAGGACAAGGTCAAGGTGGAGCGGACTAGTTGTGACTTTGTGTTGACTAGGTAGATGGATCATGGGTTTTTTGATGGATGGTCCGCTTGCGTAAGGTAGAGCACTACAAAGGAGGTGTGGCTCTGGTATGCACACTTGGATGGTCCATGGGAACAATAGACGGTCCATCGAAGGAAGACAATGTAGTAGATGACATTTAGGCACACGTTTACCGGTAGCCCATGGTGGTTTACAGACAATCTGCTAGAGT